CTAGAAAGTTAGAGTGAAACTGTTACAGAACCTTAACTGTGTAATCTGTGTTGAATGTGTTAACTTCCTACCTGGCATAGACAACCATGACAAACATAATGAGAATGCCGATGACCCCGGACACGATCCTGTTGTCTGATCGCACCAGCTCTGAAGGGACACAGCCGTCCTCCACCTGAGCTTCCACTGTGGCATTCAGGGTGGCGTTGAAAACACTCCCCACTGGAACCAATCATAATAATAATATTAAGGTTGTTACATAATATTAAGTTCTCTAGCTTTAGTTTCCACAATGCACGGAATACAACATCAGTTACATGACTGTCATTTGTCCTAGCTGTTTCATCCGTCCACCCGTCCATCCATCCATCCATCCATCCATTCATCCATCCATCCTTTTTTTTCCATACATCCATCCTTCCATACATCAATCCATCATTCCATCCATCCAAATCCATCCATCCATCCATCCATCCATTGACTCACTCACTTACCAACTCTCTCTTACTCATTCATTCATTTCTTTCAGGTCCAAACACACAGGGATTGCAATGGCTAAGACTTACTGTGATAGGACACAGGTTCACTGGACAGGGCTGAGTAGGTCAGGTACATGCAGTACGCTGAGATAATAGAAGCCTGCAGAAGTCCAGATCGGGGAGAAGCTGCAGTGTAAAAAAGATGGGTCAAAGACAAATAAATAGGACTATAGCTATAAATGATGCACTAATTTTTAGCCCACTGACCAAGTATTTATACTTACAGACTATTGCAAAGGCAGTGGTTTGTCTGACATTTCAACTCTAAAACAAATCACAACCACTCCTCTGTTGCATCTTTGTAACCAGTCATAATATTGTGTTAACCAATCAGAGTGGCTATTTGTGAAAAGGAGAAACCTCATTGGCTCATAATGCTTTTCAATAAGAGTTCAAATAATTGATTGGTAAATGTCTATTGTAAAAGGAGGAAGCTCATTGGCCAAATTTTTCAATAGCACCCTTAGACTTTATCTAATATCTGTATAGTAATATGTTACTTGCCTTTCTGTACGGGTGGCAGCACTGATATGAAGGAGATGAGGATACAGAGGATGAGGTTGAGAGCCAGGAAGAACTTGTTGAGCTCACAGCCGGCAGGCTTGGTGAAGAACAACACCAGCACGATGAACGCACCCAGTGTGACGGCATAGAAGAACAAGGTGCAGATCATCAGGGCTGCAACAACATACAAGAAGTCAGAAAGAGTCTTCGTTTTTAGTTGTAAACATACTGAGTAACAACCTTATCCTCTGGATAATTCATTATGGACAATAGAACTACTTTATTGGATCATAGCAAATGCTTAAAAACTATTTTTTTTTTTTGGATATAGGCACATACACTAACAATGATGGCAGACAGGATAATTGGCTTTTTAATGAAATGTGACTATGGCGTTATTTGGTAAATTGTTCATTTCAGACAGAAAGAAATTCTACCACACTATCAGTGCACCTGTCAATTCTAGCTGTAGCTCAATTTCCCCATGTGTCATTAGAAAGAAATACACAACGTGTACCATACATTTGTACGTATACTGCAAGTCTCTATTTCTGCTGTTTGGTTGTCAGGAGAAGTGGTTTACAGTCATTACCTACCTACATACCAGCAGCTGCAGCTTTCATCACCTGCCCTATTCACCCTGGACAAGGGAAATACAAAAAGTCAAGGTCACTATGCTGTGTAAACTCAGGCTACACCAGTACGGGTGTACAGAAAAAAGTACTGTATTTCGAGCCCTGGTAGTAGTGAATCATGTGCTGTACATCCTCACCAGTTGGAGTTCCAGGAGTGAGCGAAGTCCACCAGCAGGATGAGTTGGATCAGGATGAACAGGAACGCTCCAACCATCCCGATGTACATCCACACTGGGGGAAATAACATCATGACATTTTAGTGCCAAAGTGTTGATTCCAAATTAAAACATGAAATTCCACGGCATACGTTCTCCTTTAAACAGATCATGCTTGAATGAGGGCCTGCATGGGGCTAAATATGGGGCTTAGTATTAGGTATTCCAACCAAAATTTCAAATACATAATACAGAGATGATTCTTACAGTTTCTGGAAGATCTTATCAAGGTGAGTAAAATGCTTTTTAAATGAGGTCAATATCTTGAGCGGTTCCTGAGATATGGCTCCACGAAGTTGCCAAAATCTGACCTCGTTAACCTCCAGATTGTGAAATCATCGGAGAAAATGAACAAATTACCATTTTTGAAGGGTGATTAAAAGGTAAGTAAATGGTGAAAATCTTATTTTATCTTATTTATTGATAATATGTACTACATTGAGTCACATCACAGAGTTCCAGACTTCCACGACATTTTATTTGGTATATATGCCGGGTCAAAATATGCTTTTCCCGACAAATCTGTCAGGTGGTAGCGTGACCTTTGACCCCTAGAGGGGGAAAAATCCTCCAAAGTTCACACACCTGTATTTTTTTATGGGAACAGACCTGTCTTCCAATATTTCAGACACAGCAACACCCATTAGTCTTCTTTTACATAAAAACAGTTATTTTACCTGTACTTCTTCCATAAAGGATTAAATTTAGGTCAAAAAGTCAATATTTTGGGTTACCGCGAAGTCATATATATATCGATATAGCATTGTAAATACTAGTACTAGACTAGTCCACTAAGCAACATACTTCATAGACTTCCACAGTGTACAGCATTATGTTATCTTCTATTAGTATTAGATACAATATGTTACATCCACAGAATGCCATCAAATTGAATGTTAATTGCCCTAATTACAAGGTCAACTTGGTCAAGGTCAACGGTAAGATTGCATGAATCTGTCACATACCGGTACATATATCACTTGCTTGATGAGCCATGATGTTACATATTGCATCAAGAGTACAACTCAACACTTGCACAATACATGGCAGAAACATGGCAGATGTTTGTTTTGATTGAATAAATGTATCATAAGTGTAGCTATATACAATATTATCAAGTTGCATTTACAATGTCAATAAAAACATTATTAATCTAGCGTACAATGTATGACATGCACTAACATCTATTTGGTATACTGAAGTCATTACATTCTTTACACTGTATATACTGGGTAGTTCTAAAGATTTATTTCTAATAGAAATAGAAGGTTCAAGTTAACTGCAACTTTGTGGAAAAAGTTGATAGTCACTGTCTCCACCCCATCCTCTACAACCTCTCCTGGGTACCAGAGTTGGTGACCATGGTTGTCGTTGTGTACCACATGGCAACATTACCACACTTCCCAGGTTTGTAAGAAATGGGTTCCTGATACGATAAAAAAAGAATACAGCAGGTAAGTACAATGTGTATATATACTGTAACCTCAAGTTTGAACTGAAGTCAGCTCATTGAAGAGAATGATTTGGATGACAATCCCGGAGCTACTGACTGCTGCAGCACAAAGGAATTAACTACCCTGTCACCCAGACGACCCGGTCCTTTGATGGACAAGGTAAGTAGGTAGGTAGATATCCAAGTCCAGGGAACTTGGGCAAAATATTGGTTTGCTGGCTTGATAAATTACTACTACATGGCTAAACAAATATGAGTGAAAATATATCTCCAAAATGCCATTTACTTTTATTGTAACAATAAGAATGAGCTTAAAATGCCATCAAAATTTTGAAAAAATTGGGCATAGGTTCCCCGGCTGACCCCTAACCGGGGGCCCACGGTGCCTCAAGTTCAACAAGTGAAAAAAATACACAGTGGTATTTTCAACTTGGAACAAGGCAAACAACAATTTACATGTCAAGTACCACAGAAATAAACAACTCTTAAACTATAACATAATCAGTGATGAGTACTACAAGTACACATATTGCATTGAAACTACATAATTTTGCTGGTATGGGCTTGAGAAAAAAAATTGGTATTATTTGTAATAAAAGCACACATAATTTCCTTAGACCTCGCCCCCTCCCCCCATTCAGTGTTTACAAACTCTCAAAATACACAAAAACATATTTTACCTGGAAATTCTTGCTCCATAGCGTCAAATAGGGCGTATTTGTGCCGCTCCATTCACGTATTTGCTGTTCCTGAAGAACGCCCGGGCGCCCGCGCGGGCCGTATTTCCCGCGGCAGCGCTGTGTTTACCATGACTTCATCAGTAAATCTAGCGTTGCGCTTCGCCGGCGTGCATTCGAGAAAACTACCTATTACATCAGCGGAAAGCCCTGTTTCTTGCCGTCATTTTGACACTGGTGACAAAATGGGAAAATGAAATTTAGGTGGTCAAATTGATGTTTAAAGATCGACAAGTCGTTAAAAATGGACGTTTAGCCCCCCGAAAATAAAATTTTCCCGATGTCCCTGGCACCATTTTAAAGCTCGGAATCTGCGCTTTCGAATGGTGCTACTTTCATTCTGATGCGGTCTATGACGGCGAGGCGCAAGCGCACTAAAGTCAGGGTGATTTCGCAATAGCGAGAGGGACAAAATGGCCGCGCTTCCGCGACCCGGGCGCTCGGCTCACGACGCGCCGTTTTCATCGGCAAATTTCTGGCGTTTGCAACATTTTACAACCTAAATAAATACACCACAGGAAAGGGGAAGTTATATCCTTTATTTTTATGGGTAACTTTGCTACTAGGAGCGAATGATTTTTGCACCGCGAGTGTGGGAAGATGCTAGAAAATTGTACCGACACCATGCGGTAGACGATTTTCCTGGTAGCGTTGGAATACCTATTAGTATATGATTATCTGTAAGGAGTGACTTTGGAATCATGTTGACCAAGAACATGCATTTTTGCATTGTTTGGTACCAGCAGATTCAAACATAACAAAATTCCTCATTGAGAACATGACAAAATTACTAGTAAAATCCCTGCAAATGCATTGACTGTACCTTGCTGGAAGATCTGCTCATTAGGGATGTAGAAGGCTCCCACGCAGATGCCAACAATAATCAGAAGCTTGAAGAACCAAAATCTGGGGACACATAGACAAGAACACATGTAGAAGTCTTTCACTACCGGTATTATAATATATAATTGTACAAGGCAATCATTGTATAATATTCTTGACCATCAGTGGAAGGTTACATCTGGTCAGTAAATCATAGGATTATCAAGTTTTCAAACTTTGAACCATGTTCAGGGCAACACTATTCTTGTAAGAGTGTCAACTATTAGTACATGTAGTGGTCAGAAGTTGATCAGCTACCAAAATATTCAGGGCAGCTAGGATAAGACAGTAAAGAAGAAGTTGAATTTCTAGTTCAATAACTTTTACAGCCTATATAGTTATGCATTAACAAGTTAATGTATATGTATAATTATGAATAATTATTATGTAGACATCAGTCTAGTTCCTTCAAAATAGAATGAATGCAATGATAACTGTGGCTTCCAAAGCTTCTTAATCTATAGTTTGTGGTTAAAAACCTGCTGTTTTTGAGACCCCCCGTGTCACTGACGAAAGGTAGCAATTGATACCTGAAACATCTGACCATTTCCAACATCATATCCAGTTGACTGAGTAACTGTTTTTTTTGTACAAAGCTTATATAGATAAATTTTGATGTAATTTTGAGTTATTCAATGTGTGTTTTTTTAATGATGGTATATACTATAACTTAGGCACAAACTCAGCACACATCTTACCCATTGTGAATGCCTGCTCGACAGTCCTGGCTAGTTTTCACATTGATCATGAGGATCATGAGTAGAAAGAAGAACGCGGCCATGGAGAAACAGACCCGGTACACGGCCATGAAACCGATCAGCTGGCTGATGTTACAGTTGGGGCCCAGGTTGAACCAGTCACAAAGTTCACTGAACCCTGGGATCTAGATTCAGCAAAGTGAAACACATTAGGAAAGATAAAAAAAAACATCACAACAATACTAGTCAATAGTACATGTAAGTAATTATCATGCAAAGTCATGTATAACAACATCCATGCATCCATATACAACTCAAACCAAACTACATGTAGAGATATTTGCTGAATATTTTGCTCAAACTTTTGCTCAATACATGTATTTCATTGACATGAAAGCAATTTATAGTCTTTTATATCTAGCCCTAAAAATAAGATCCCTCATAGCACTGAGTTTCCCCTTTTAGCCAAGCACCTGATTGCAACTATTGAGCCTAAAAACTATTGCAAACAAAGTAAAAGTAGTAAATGCCTCCTTTTCCCCTGCTGTAAAATTAAGTTTTATGAATGAACGCCATGATTGTACAGTACTGTAAATCATGATTTATTCAGTTTTCCCAGTCACTTCTGTAGTGTGAATTTATCATTACCGCATACAAACAATTGACCAACTTTCTTTCTTCTGCAACTGCTGCCACCACAAAGACGCAAACATATATTAGTAGTTCCGCAAACTGTTGCAAATTCCCAAATTTCAGCTCAAAATTTTGTTGTCGCAAATATAAAGCAATGTACAGTATTTTGTCCTTACTGATTGCTGTATCCTGTCCTCCACAGCTTTGGACAGCATGATACAGGAGATGGCTGTGCCCAGGATCAGGAAGAAGGTGTACATGATCCGGGTGGTAGTGGAGGAGCGCACCGTGGGACAGCAGGCACAGCACAGTGAACACGCTGCTGACCCAAAACAGCAGGCCAGCTGCGAGTCAGACATGGTACAGGTTTACATGGGCACAAATCACAATATAGCTTGGTCAAAAGACCTTTTTACAGAATTTAACTAGACTTAAGGCTAAGTACATGCTGGGAGAGATATATATATGAATATATGCAGGGGACAAACAGCATCATTAAAAGTTAAACATAGACCGGACACAAGTACAGTACCACATACTTCATCTTCTAGCAAATACCATGGATCAATGAAAAGGTCTGTTAAACTTCAAAGTCTGACAGACTTCACTCCTTTTAGTAATTTATCTGGTTTCATACATGTTTGTCAGTTTATTTGGGGAAAACAAATCCAAGAACAAACTAATAATTCATAAGCTGTCTATGCTATTTTGAGAACTAGGTTATGACATACATGGACCAGACCTTTCATCTGGCGTGAATTATTGATTTGTCTCAAACACTTCAAATGTCAAGGGCAAGTGCCTGCTGTTGGAATTTATTGCCAATATCAAGTATGTATTGTGTAGTGCATAGGAATGTAATGTTTGTACATGATCGTAAAATTGATCATGAAATAGATATGGATATAACAAAATAATTTCTAACAGTATGTATGAAAGATTTGTGTGGATTACAAAATTTAAAATTATAATATTCTGGCCCATTGCTAGTGCTGAGGATGTCCATCTATGAATGTATATAAGTATATTTGATTTTAACTTGACTTAATTTTAGGATCATATTTTGTTTCATGGCTGTCATGACCTGTCGATGCAAGAAACCTTCTTGGAAGATGTAATAGGAGGTACATTCCAGAAGTCACACACACTACACAATCATGTAGTAATTGAAACAATGTAGCATTATGCTAAAAATCGCATGAATGAAATGCAATCAAGAAACTTTTAGACTATTTTGGAGAGGCTCATTTGTCAGTACAGTATTATCAAATGCAAAGGTCATCAAGGTAAAGCTAACATGGTTTGACGATTTACCCTTAAATAGTTAATGTATATTTTGCAAAAAGAAGTAGACTGTAGAGCAAACTTGACCAGACCTTTAATCATGAATAATTAAATGCCTCAATCACTGAATGTCAAGGGCATGTTCCTTACTGTTTGAATTTATTGCCAATATCATATATGTATTGTGTCATACATTGGACTTTAATGTTACTACATCTGATTGTTTAAATTGATCACCGCATTTGGATGTAAGAGATGAAAAGCAAAACTTCTTTGTTTTGTACAAGGTACAGTTTTATACCTTGATACCATCTTCAGCCGAGACAGGCAGTGCCATGGCGAATGAGGAAGCATATTTTACATATGCCAGTACATGTATATACACCATATACATGTAGTACAATGTACAATGTATTACTTAGTACATGTATGTAAAAGAGTCTTTCTTTTGCCACTGCTAACTTTTATACTGGTATACCAAGGAGTCAAATATTTTAAACCTGCTTCTCATCTCATAGTATTAAAGTATTTCAGATTTCACCAATAATTGTTGAAAAACATCAAAGATGTTCAATCGTACAACTCAATCATACCAAGGAGGTAAAATACAAGTTGTATTGAACCTCCTTGATCATACAAGTCAAGAACAAAAGCAGTCCCTACCTGCGCAGCGCAGCATCCAGCACTCAGAATGGCTCCCATGTTCCACTTCAAACTTGATCCTGGTTTTTAAATCAACTCAAGCTTCTGCCAAGGACTTCAGGCTAAAACTGGAATATAAGATAGCGTGGTTATGACAATTTGTAGCACGATTATCTCTGCTCCCAGACGCCAAAATAATCTAATTGTCTCCTAGACTGGATTAAAGGAGGGAAATATTTACACTGTGACTCACCGGCTGTTGATTTCATCAACATTTTTTTTTTTTCGAGGAAATGCAACAGACGTTCGTGTCTTTTCCCCTAAATCATGCGAACAGATGTAACGTTAGATTTTAGCAAATGTTAAGAACAACAACTGATCTGTACTTTTAAACGTCTAGTGAATTTGGATCGTCGGAAGTTTACGGCTTACCTTTGAACCAAACGTATGTTTTTTGATGATAGACTCCTCCCTCTGCTTGTCTCCTTTGTTTTGCTGGAACAGTCCATGTGCTCAGACAGGTAAAATTACCATGAAATATCATTATAAAAACTTCAAACGCATTCAAAGGCTACAAACTGGAAAATCTATATCAATAATGTAGAATTTCTAAAATATTGAGAGCAATGGGTCGTTATTAGAGCAAAATTATACGAATACTAGTATTATTTTGTGAACCCTGTGAATATTCTTGGATCAGTCTAAATATATGAGGTTAGAGGTTAAACTCATGATTACCCACAGTTCCTTTCAGCGTTACATGGCCGACGCCTACCGATTTTTCTGCGAACTGGCTTTTTCATCGAATTGCGCTAATAATTCGTAAGCCAGTGATCAAACAGGACCACAAAACCGTTCTTAGACATCAGCCCGACATGCCTAAACCAGTATTTCCCCGCCTGAAGACCTACCCGGCCAAGAGTCCGGAGAAGAAACAGCCCGTCGTCAGCAAGTTCTTTGTCTCGCGCAACAGTAAGTCGGCAGAGGGCGCTGTTGGAACCGACGCCGGCGCCAAGAAAACGCCCGTGGCGGATAAAACCGTGAGTTTGCTCCTAAAATATTACAACTTTTTGCCCTCTTTATATTCCAGTTGGTGCCTACCATGTTTGAATGACTGCAGCTAGTCAGGAAGTGCGAAAATGTCGGGGGTGGCGTGGCGTGCAGTTATAATGTGAACCGCTAGGAGATAGAACTGAAACCACCCCCACCTGTACAATGAATGGCCAGGAAATCATGGAAGGTTTGCACTAGACAAGAGTTGGTTCATGGAACCTCTTTTAATAGTATCGTGTACTACGTATGTTAACTTCACAACTGCATTGGGTGTGTGTATTTGTGAATACTAGTAATTGAACATAATGAGACTGACCATATTTTATAGGCCCCCAATACAAACAATTACTTTCATGCATATATTAGGTTTTTTTTTTAAAGAGCTGTATAAACCACAAGATCTTCATTAACTCTACTCACTTTGTATAATGTTTAACTTTGGTGGTGGGTTTCATA